ACACACACACACACACACACACACACACACACACACACACACACACAGAGTGATCACTCTGGCCTTTGCTTACTCAGTTCCCCTACCTAGGACCCCATCCCCATCTTCCCACCTCTCTTCCTCCTGATCAGAATTCTGCCAGCTTTTCAGGGTCCAACTCCTGTCTCGCCTCCTGTGGCCTCAACTAACTGCCCTTCCTATAGCCAGAGCTACATAATTTCACCCACGTAGTTACCACACACTGTTTTGTGCTGTCTTCTAATTGTCTCGTGAGTGAATTACCTCCCCATCCAGAAGGCCTGTCTCCCTCACAGCCCAGCTGGGCCCAGGGCTAGGCACACAGGAAGCACCCTGCAAATATTTGTTGATTGTATTTGAGTCACTGAATGTATGAGCTGAAAGGAACCTAAGAGACCATTTAGTTCAACCCCTTGGTTTTACAGATGAAGAAACAGAGGCCCAGGGAAGGGAAATTCATTGTTGAAGATCACACAATGAGTTATTGGTGGGATCAGGATTAGAACCCAGGTGTCTTGGCTCTCAGTCCTCGGGTGCTTCCCTCTACACCCTGCTGCCCTCCCTTCCATGGTGACAACAAAAAAGAATCAACTTAACACCTCCTCTCCATTTTTTTTTGCAGAGAGTAAGGCTAACATTGGAGAGAAAGAAGGTTCTGTTCCTAGTTCCCTTCTTTTGTTCCATAAACTACTCAGTCTGAGAGGGAGTAAGAAACTAGTTAGGTAGCAAGGTCATCAGGGATCTGAGTCCCAGCCTGACTAGGAGCTCGACCTCTCCACCTAGTGCCTCAGTTTCTCTTCCTTTTGAAAGAATGCCCCTCCCTCCTCATTACCACTGTGTCCTTCCTAGAGAAGTGGAAAAGAAAGAAATCACAATGAAATTACGATAAGGGAGTCCTGGGCCTGGGACAATATTGATATGTGGGGTCCTGAAAAGAAGGAATAGAAGCCTCCAGAGTCTGTGGATATTTTTTTAAAGGTGAGGCAATGTGGTTAAGTGACCTGCCCAGGGTCACACAGCTAGTGTCAATTATCTGAGGCCAGATTTGAACTCAAGTCCTCCTCACTCCTAGGCTGGTACTCTATCCACTGCGCCACATAGCTGCCCCAATATTTGTCTTTTGAAAGCAGATAGCTATGTATTTCTCTGAAAGTCCTTATAGTAGCTGCCCTTTCATAAGTTCCCATGGAGCTACCCCCAAGGGGAGAGCCAAACTTACGTGTTGCCACTGGTCAAGGATTAGTGGCCGATATCGAAGGAAGAACTTAAGAGGGAAAGACTCGGGATCCGGCCAGGAGGAGGGTGTCTGCCAGGTCACCTCCAGGCGGCGAGGGCTGCTGGGTACAGGCCGGGCCACAACATTTTCTGGAGGATCTGGCTTCACTGATTGGAAAAAAAAAAACCAAAAAACCATATCCCAGACATCATCATCGACTTTGTCACTAACATTGTAGCCATATCCACCTTCCCCACTCTCACTGTCACCATGATTACCATTGAAGTTACTCATCCCCACAAATCATCACAGGGCTTGCCTACTCTAAGGGATTTTACCTCCATCAGACCTTTGTCCCTTAAGATAGACTGAAAGAATGTCCCCTTCCCTCTATGGCCTTTATTGCACTCCACAGCCCCCAAGATGACTATTCCTCTAGCCTTGAACCATGAAGAAAGCAGGGAGCCAAGGACTGACTTCTATTTTATCTTCCAAAGGCGTTCTGGCTATAGGACTAATGCCAAGATATCAGAGGGGTCTCCCGACTATGGGGGATGCAAGCTGAAAGAGAAGAGGTTGAGATTTGGACAGAGAAAAGAGTGAAGATTGAGGAAGGTTGAAAGGAGAAAAGGTCTGAAGAGGACAGGACAGACCAGAAGACGACTAGAAGTGGTAAGATGGTTTAGAGAAGACAGGGATGGTTGAAGCGAGCCTAGGAGGGCCTATGGAGAGGATATACAAACTGGGAGGAGGCTAAGTGGGGAAAAGTGCATAGCACCTAGCATAGACAAGGAGGAAAACAGAAGGAAGGCTGGAAGAGATAGATAGGTCTGAGTGTAGAAGGGGACTAGGTTTGGAGGGATAGGGTGAGGATAGGAAGGGAAGACCTATGGGAGAAATAGGACAGGATGGAAGGAGGTGGGGGTGCATTAGGGTCAGGGTAGGAGGAGACTAGGGGAGAGGGGATCTGGGAGGGACAGGACAGGATGGGGGAGGGGAACCCAGGGGAGACAGAGGAGGTCTGGAGTGAGGAGGCCAGGGAGGGGTAGGAGAGGCGCCTATCCCAGCCCTGTCTCTTGCTCTGACACCTCATTCATCACCCGAAACTTAAGGAAGCCATTAAGTTGGGTGGAAGGGGCTGGGGCTGGGGTTGGGGGCGGGGGCTGCAGCTGTTCTGCATAATAGCCCTCCTCTCTGCCTTCATCCAGCACCTCCACTCTTCCTCCCACCCAGAATGCAGTCAGGTTCAGGATTCTCAGAACCAGTTCATCCACTCCCCTGCCCACACAGAAAGGAAATATCAGCGGGTCCTTGAGGTCAGCAGAGTAGGGAACATAAGACACATGTGAAATAACATCCCAATGAGTGAGAGCCTCAGAACTGGACATCTTGACCAGGTCAGCTCATCAGCAACACACCCGAAAACCCTACTGGGTTATCTGAGGGGAGACTTTTAAGGATTCCCCCAATGTTCGGGGAGCCATGGCTTCTGCCCTCAGGGAGCACCCCCACCCTCCCAGTCTGACAGGGAACGTGGCTGCCATCCATGGCAAGTCTAGTTCCCACCGGAGTCACTGAGGTGCCCACATCTCAGGAAGGTAAATGAAGGCAGAGCTCATCACCCCCACCCCACAGTCATATCTCAGCATCCTTTGCCAGGGAGTACAGCGGCAGACCTGTGAAACACCACTCTGGGGGAAACCCTCAGGCCTGGGAGTGGGGGACAGTCCTGAGAAAACTCTGATGGAGTCAAGTGAGGATGAAAATATAGGGGCAATGAAGAGGCATGATGTGGGTGCTCCTTAGGATGAGGACAGATCCAGGGTCCTGAGGGTTTGAGAATCCCCAAAGGAACATTGAGGGGGATCCTGGGAGACTAGAAGTCTTGGCGGCCAGGCTGTGGTTCCTCACAATGAGGACTCCCTGAAGTGGATCCTGGGAGGGTCCTCTGGATGCAGTGCTAGTCCCTTCCTTGATGTGATATATGAGGTACAGACCGAAGGGGGAACACTTTATGACAGGACCCAGATAGCCTGGTTTCCAGGCTTTGTTGAACTGATGCTTTCAGAAAAGAAGCTCAATAATGGTTCTCTCGGTTCTCAAGGAAAACCCGGCAGGTGGCTGCTCCAGAGGGCACCGGTGTTTATAGACTGTTTTGGAGCAGTAGGCTGTTAATGATGGAAGTAATGATTTCCCCAGCTAAAGGAGATAATAGGCAGTTAATTACCTGCCTCTGGGAAATTAAGGAAGGGACAACCCAAACCAGGGAGTGCTAAAGAAGCCACCAGCATCACCCATCAGTGGTCTCTAAACACAGAATACACATGTGTATTCATGGTAAGGCATGTGCTTATGCCTCAACTCACACCTGTTGAGCATACTGTGTCTATCACTTTAAGACCCAGTTCAAGACCCCTCCACCAAAGCCAGAACTGATCAATCCTACAGCTACTCTTATTACATAGTCACTCTGTGCTCTTGGAGGCTTGTAGCAGATTAATTCTCCAGGCTGTCTTTGTCTTCACGCTCACACCTTACCTATAGTGAACTCATCAAAGGTGATGGATGTGGAGTTGTGGCCCAGGGCATTGGTGACCGTCAGTGTGACCTTGTATTTGACGGTAGAGAAGAGGTGTGTGTATCGGATGTGACACCGGTTCTTGGGGGCTGGGTCCTTCTCACAGCCTAACAGTCTGGAGCCATGCCTATCCAAGGAGAAGGAGGAGAAGGAGAAAGAGAGGCGGTGACAGAGATCAAGGAGGACAAAGAGGTTATCTGTTACTAGGGGACCCTCATACCTCGCCCCTCCCCTTCTTTTCAGGCAAAAACCCTAGGCTTTCTCCTCCAGGAAGCCTTCCCAGATGAACCCCAGCCCAGCTCCCAATACACCGACACCACGATTGCCCTCCTCAGACTCACAGGATGGTCCCTAGGAATAGGAGGCAGAGTCACTTACAGAACTGTCACATTGAAGGTGTTGGGTATGAATGTGGGTGCAGGCAAGTGCCAGCTGCAGTAGAATCCCTTGGGGTAGCTGTTAGAGCGGCAGGTGAGGACAGGCTCTCGGGGTGGCACTGAGGGGAAGAAGGGAAAAGTCGGGAGGGGGAAAGGCCTTGGTTTAGCACCTTCAGAATCAACCTGAGGAAACCACTCACCTAGCTACCCCCTGCCTTTCTGGTCCCTGGGTTGAGGATGCCTAGTGGTTTGTTGGCCCGCCCCTTCTTCTGCAGAGGTTCATAGCTCTCCCCCCATCCAGCACCCATTTCACTACAGTGACCATATTCTAGTGGCCACAAGGTGGCAGCAGTGTCTGGACCCACAATAAAGTGGGGGGAGAAGAAGGGGAAGAAGCCAAGCAGCCCCAAAGAAGACCCAATCTCATCCAGCTTCTTGGTGTCTGCAGCCTCCACCCATACCTTCCTCCCCTTCCTCAATTCCTTCCTGTATTCAAAGTGGCACCCTTCTTCCTGCTGCATTGTTAATGATCTTGCCTTGCCTTCAGTGGGAAACAAAAAACAAAGACGGAGAAATAAATAACCACAGCCTTGCACTTGCACTGTACTTTTTATACGTTAAGATGCACCATCAAGTACACATTCTCCTTTGACCCTAACAACAGCCCTGTAAGGTAAACAAGGCAGGTATGATTATTATCCCCCTTTTACAGATGAGGAAACTGAGACACAATAAGGTCACACAGCTATTAAGTGACAGAACCAGGCACTAGAACCCAGGTCCCCTAACTTTTGGTCCAATGCTCAAAATCACAGATGTTCAGAGTCAGACGTGATCACACATCATTTCATCTAACAGGAGTTTCCTCTACAAAATCCCAGGCAAGTGGCCATCCGATTCATACTTGTAAACCTCTAGTGACGATAAATGAATGAAAAAACATTTATTAAACTCTTTATTAGGTACCAAGCACTGTGCTACACGCTGAATCATAGGATCATACATGGACTTCCAGACTTTGTTGGAAGGGAACTCGGAGGACATTGAGTCCAGCTTCCTGATTTTACCAACAAGGGAGCTGGGCTCCAGGGTGGTTAAGGTTAGAGGACTCACCCAAGGTCACCCAAGTAGGTAGGAGCCCAGCCCCTGTGGCTCCAAATCTAAGCTGTTTTCACTTCACAGTGGTACCCTCTCCCTACCACTGAGGCAGCCCAGTATTACACTTTGGGATAACTTGGATGGTTAAGGAAGCATGCCTCTCCGTAACTCATTGCTCCTAGTTCTGCCCAGACAGAATAAATTTAATCTCTCGTTCACGTCCCACCCCCTACACCCCCCCCCACCTTAAGTCTTCTGTTCTACTAAGATCCCCAGCTCCTTCAATCATTCCTTTCACCACCCTGGTTGCCTTCTCTGGCATTCCAATTTGCCAGTGTCCTTCTTGGATGGCTCTTGGAACTGAGCACAATACTCCAGATGTGTCTGACCTTATCCCAAACACCATGGGTCTAGTACTACATCCTAAGACTAAATAAGCTTTTTTTGGCTGCAATGTTTTGGCCACAATACTGGCTCATAACAAGCTTGGAATTCACTGAGAACCCCAGATCTTTTCCATGCCATTGTCTGACCTCATTTCCTTCATCCTTTATTAGTATGCTTTATATCAAAAGTAGAAGAAAAGGGGCAGCTAGGTGGTGCAGTGGATAGAGCAATGGCCCTTCTGGAGTCAGAAGGTCTTGAGTTCAAATCTGGCTTCAGATAGTTGGCACTTACTAGCTGTATGACCCTAGGCAAGTCACCTAACCCTGATTGCCTTTCCAAAAAAAAAATTAAAACTAAAAAAAAGTAGAAGGAAAAAAAAAAGAGAAAGAGACAAAAAGAGAGATGGAAGGGCAGCTAGGTGGCACAGTGGATAGAGCATAGGCCCTGGAGTCAGGAGGACTTGAGTTCAAATGAGGTCTCAGACATATGTTCACACTCACTAGCTGTGTGACCTTGGGCAAGTCATTTAACCCCAATTGCTTCAACAACAAAAAAGAGAGAAAGAGATGGATAGAGACTATTTGGAGATCCCTGAGTTTTGGGGCAGCTAGGTGGTGCAGTGGATACAGTACCGGCACTGGAGTCAGGAGGACCCGAGTTCAAATCTGGCCTCAGACACATACTACTAGGAAGTAGCTTCCTAGCTGTGTGACTCTGGGCAAGTCACTTAACCCCAATTGCCTCACCAAAATAAAAAAAAAATTCAAGCGAGAGCCCTGAGTTTGAATCGTCTCCAACCCAGTTATACAACCCTGGGTAAGGAATTTAATTTCTCTAAGCCTCATTTTCCTCATCTGTAAAATGGGGATAATAATACTACTATAATACCTACCTCAAAGGGCTGTTGGGAATCAGATGAGCTAATTATGTAAAGAGCACTATATAAATGTCAGCTATCATCATTATAAAGATGAAGGAAGTGAAGAGGGAAACTAAGACACAGAGCAAAGGTGGAAGTGAGGTGAGTGGGGAGGGATGAGACACCCTCTCTCTTCCTGTCTATTCTTTGAATCAGCAGCAAATGGAGAAATCACAAGGGACAACTGATTGAAGATTATGTCTGATTCAGGGTCAGAAATGAGAGAAAGGTGGGATGCCCTGGGGGAGCTTCTCTCCTTCAGTACCTGACATCCCAAGGACTGTCCCCAACCCCCTTCAGACCAGGCACTGGTCTTCAAATGTCCACTAAGTGAACACTGGGAGAATAGCAAGTGAGTTGCTGGTTGCTAAAGGGAAGGAGAAGTAACCTCCTTTATACTGCCCAGGAATAGTGAGATAGACCAGATGATCTTTGCTAGGCCTTGCAAGGCCCATAAGTCTACTTATCTGTCTGCCTCTCTGCCCATATATCAAGGCACACGTTCATGGTGATACAGTGCTATCCCAATACACAGCTATTTCCCACCACATACCTAAAATCTAGACAAATAATAATAATGCACTGTTATGTGGTGGCTGGAGCATTGGATATGAAATCAGAAGACGGGTTCAAATCCTAACTCGGAAACTTACTGACTTTGCGGCCCTGGGCAAATGAAACCTCTCTGAGCCTCATCTGGAAAGTAAGGCTGTGGACCAAGCTAGCTTCTAAGGCTCCTTTCAGCTCTAAATCTATGACCCCATAGTGCTATTCCACTAACTACACAGATAGCAAGATCCACGCTAATCCTGATGCACAGTGATTTCAACGCTCAGCTCTCTTGATGTATAACTGTTCCATGCTGGGAAGGGAAATGGGAACTTTTCCTATAGGAGGACCCAGGTACTCAGGACACGGGGGTGCCCATGCCAAGGCCAACTGGTTGTGCCATGGCT